ACGAGTTGACTGAAAATGAAAAAAAAGTAGCAAAACAAACCGCCAATGAGGCCCTTGAACAAGAACTCCCTCACTTCTCCTCTAAAACAAGAGCGTTAAGTCAACTTCACGTTGTGCGTCATGGGGCGTGCGCGAGGTATCTCGTCCATTAGCTATCATCAGCCGCCCTCATCTCAATTTTAAGGCTTTGCCATTGTCGCAAGCTTCTAAATACCGTGACAGCGGCACAACTGTGATACTCGCAGGCTACTCTGTTCTACATGCGCAATAGATTGTACCATGCACTCATCGATGGCTCTTTCTCTGAAGGCAAGACCTGGGTGTAAGAGCGTTCACAATTAATCTGGAGTGGTCAGTGGCCTAAAAAACAAGAAGAAAGGAAAAAATTCTCTGTGACTCCTCGAATGAGGCACCCCTGTCTTCGGCCATATTTATGTCGGGATGGAGCGGGGGCGACTTCCGCAAACGCTCAGCTTAATTTGCTCCTGTGGCAACGACGAGCAGCAGTGTTACTTTTGATAGCGAACCGTTCTCTCTATGGCAGACAGAACGGCCGCTTCTCTCTACATTCTCGGACGATGTGTTCCTTTTCTGTTATGTCACTTCACAAGATCTTCCGAGATTCGTTTCTTACAAGGGAGCTTCTTTGGGTTGATGACGCTACAGTACGTTTCAAAAGGATGTGAACACCTCACAATTCACGTTAAAAAGGTAAGAGGTTACGTGCCATGCAACCCTCCTCAATCGATTCCCCGTAGTCGATAATGTAACAGAACAATTTAGCAGATAATATCGCCTCGCTTAAGTAGAAAGAAATTTGAATAGAATTTTCTTCTCTGTTTCAAAAGTAAGTGACACTTAAAGGAATCTTCCATGGAAAAAGCTCCGCCCTCATTACCACAGAAAACGATACCTTAAAGGAATCTTTCACGAAAGGAGTGATCATTTTGTCTTGTGTAGGATCAGTATTATCGAGACTAACGCTTATGTTTCGTTCTTTTTGCTATGCTCATGAGGCTAGGGGCCTAAGGGGTATCATTCTTCTGTGGTAAAGGAGGCGGAGCTTCTTTCGCGGAAGATTTATTCAACGAAAGACAAAAACATAAGTGCGATTAGAAACCAGTCGGGCCTCCAGAGTTTCTAATTAGCGTAAACATCCTGTCCTGCATAATCTGAACCACGTTTGCCATAGTTGTTTCGTCAATGTCGGCCCAAATAGCCTCTACCAGCGCCTTCAGTTCATCCGCGGTTTTGTACTGCCAGTTGTTGAAGTAAACTCCTTGATCAAGGGTTCCCTATAGGGTTGCAGTTAGGAGAACACAGATGCCAATCCATCGCTTCAGCACCATTTCTTTGAGCCACTCTTTGGTAGATTGCGGAACATTGACAGACGTGTGGTCCTGTAAATATGCAACTTCCGCTGCGCTTCTCTAAGAAAATTCAACAGGTGATATTGGTGCACCGCTTGGTATTCATTACTGTCTGTACGTAATAATGGAGCGCCAACATCCAACTTTCTGCTGTTTGCGAAACCGCCCCAGACCCATCAACGGGCCACCTCCGAAACTCCATCTCGAGAACACGAGCGGATCGCCGCCATACCTCTTCAGCAGTGACAAAATCCTTCCGGCCCGTCATGACCAAACTCTTTATATGAAAGATTACTTGAGGAGAAAAAGTGCATGAAAAGGTGTCCGTTTTGAAAATCAAAAAAATTCTCCAAAACCGTATCCTATCCCCGTGTTATATCTTACGTTGCCATGCTCTCACGAGCAGACTCCAATCTTGCTAACTTGTGAGCCTTAAAGTGAGTAGCTTTTCTCAGCGTCTGTCGAGTGGTGTATTCATTTGAGCGTATGAGGCGCCTAATGGTCGTTTTCAAAGCTGGTTTAACAATCTGAGCTCGGACAGTCAATGAAGAATTTGAAAAGGTGTGGGCTACTCCTGCTCTAGGCAGTCAAGGATCATGGATAGTGCGGAATATGTCTGAGTATAAATATCAGGGTGCCGGATGAATCTTCCAGTGCATGAAGAAGAACGACCAAGTTGTCTTATGATTTCGATTAGGGCGTCCAGTATCATGCAGAGCTCTGTGCTTCAAACAGACCAGTTGGCGCAGCAGGCGTTGCGCGCGCAACACAGTTCTGCGGTGATATGGGATGGTGTGGCGTGAGTTCTCGATTTGACCCATTCAACAACGAATATTTGACTTCTGAGCTAGGTTCTATCCCCTCCATAACCAATAGCTTTTGAGTTCTTCTTCGCGATCATTACCCGCTTTTTCCGCGCTTCCGATCTGCCTCTAGACCGACTTTAAATTCTCGTTGTGAACTCCGCCTATTTCGATAATGTCTCACCCATCTTTCGCTTCCTTGCCAATAGCTCCCACGTTTTCCCCGTCCTCTGAACTGTCTCTAAGCGATTTATATGCTCGGGGGCAAACCACGCCCACCTTAGTGCATACTCCACCCACCAATGAAAATTGATTTCCATCCCTTTGCCGGCCTCCATCCACTTTTTCCCGGTCTCTGGAACCTCCTGGGAACACCTTATGGGTTTGGCAACAAACCCCGCCCACTTTAGTGCATACTCCACCTACCAATAAAGATTGTATTCCTCTCCTTCGTTAGCCTCTATCCACTTTTTTCCCAGTTCCTAGAGCTTCATGGAGCCGCCTTGTAGGTCCGGCAGCAGACTCCGCCCACTTAGGTGGTGCCCGCCCACTAACAAAGATTGTATTCCTCCCCTTCGTTGGCCTCCCACCTGTTTACGGTTTCTGGACTATCTCTGGACCGATTTTTAGGTTTGCGAGCAGGCCCCGCTCACTTCACCACCCATGGCAGCTGACCTCCACTCCTCCACCCACCTCCATCCACTTTTTCTCCGGTCTCCGGCCTTTCTTGGAATCGAGATATGAAATCTCGTCGCAAACTCCGCCCACTTTGGTCGTTCCCTGCTCACCAATAGCAGCTGACCTCCACTTCTCCATCCACCTCTATCCACTTTTTCTCCGGTCTCCGGCACTTCTTGAAATCGAGTTGTGAAATTTCGTCACGAACTCCGCACACTTTGGTCGTGGTGCCCCCACCTCCACCCACCTTTATCCACCTTTTTCCAGCTCACTTATACTTCCGAAATATGAGGACTTGTAGAAAACGCTGTACACTTCAGCGCGCGACCCGCCTACTGACTTTTCCCGAACTACAGACTTACTCTAAACCAAGTTATGAATTTTTTCATAAAGTGCTGCTTTTTTGGAAGACGCCCCGCCCACAGGGAATGGGTCTCCCCAATCCAATGTGACTTAGCAATACACACCTTTAACCACTTTTTGGCTCAGTTTCAAGGTCGTTTTTTCATTGAGATTGAAGTCTTGGTCGACACTACAGTTCATTTCGATGCACGCCACGTCCACTGTAGCCGCTGCTCTGCTTAGCTGATGTGTGTTTTCTACTTTGTGAGACCTTGCCCACCCATCCCACGCTTGACCCGGTCTCTCCAGGCGGATCCTCAGGAGCTAGGGAATTTCGTGACAGACACACAGAACGACAGGTGACAGACGAAGCGCTTTATAGTAAGTAGGATGTCTCGCCCACTTACAGCAGTTAACCTTGTTTCATCACCGACCCCTATCCACTTTTTTCAAGTCTCCGTGACTTCTTGGAGCCCGGTTATAACGTTTAAGGGATAAATCCGCCCACTTCGCTCAATTCCCGCCCACATACAGCAGGCAACCTTGTTTCCATCGCCAGCCTCTATCCACTTTTTCCCCGATCTCCGGGGCTTCTTAGAACCGAGTTATAGATATGAGAGAGGAAGTTATGAAGTTTACGGCAATCTCTGCCCACTTTGGTGCAAGCCCTACATACCTCCAAGGGCAATCGACCCCTTTTCCTTGACCAACCCTGTTCGTTTTTTTCCGGCCTCGATGACTTCTTAGAGCCTACTTATAATGTTTCTTGGATAACTCCGCCCACTTTGGTCGTGCCCTGCCCACCAATAGCAGTTGACCTCCACTCCTCCACCCGCCTTTATCACCTTTTTCCGGCTCATTTAGACTTCTCCGGCCCGAATTATGAGGACTTCTAGAAAACGCTGTACACTTTCAGAGCGGCTCCGCCTATCTTCGGGCCTCCGTCCACGTACCCTCGCCGTCAAATAACCAGAAAATATGCAATTGCAGAAATTGACGTGGCACTGACGTGGCATCGAATAAAGAACATCTTTGAGCACACGTGACGTCACCTTTTCATCGAGAATTTGGCCACGTGTGCCACGTGGATTTCTGGCTGCATGAAACGGAGTGTAGTGTGTGCTGTGAACACCTTAGACATGGCTCCACTACACTAATTTGTTTTCTGCTCACAGTCGAAAATGGACACTCCTGCAATAGACCATTCTGCTCTGAGGTGCGCCGTGTACTCGTTTGTGGTTAATACATGGTGAAGCACTCGAAATTCATGCCTTTCACCTGCGTATTGAGACGTTGACCTTTGCGAATACGACCTCCCCTCTTTTCGGTCCGTCAAATACGATCCCCACGCTGTTCTTTGCGCAACTGGCGGTTGAGACCGACGTCATAGTCGGCGAAGGACCAAACGATGGAGCTTGATCCGTCGCCGACTATGACGTCGGTCTGACCCTGGTTACGACCCCCTCCTCTTCCATTGGCCAAATACGATCCCCCCGTTGATCTTTGCGCTACAAGCGGGTGACCCTGGTTACGACCCCCCCTCATCCATTGGCCGAATACGACCCCCTCGTTGTTCTTTGCGCAACCCAAGTGCAGCAATCAACCAGAAGGCTTGATGATTCAGCATTTTGTAGTATTCCCTGCCTGAGCCCCTCATGTATCCACACTATTACAGCATCTCTGCTTTCATTCCTTCAAAATTCTTAGTCATAGAAAAGACAAGTATGTGCTTTTCTGTCTCGGCCCTCATGCGCTCCTTGACCACTACCCCGTAACACTTCCGGGACAGCCAACCAACTTCGCGTCAATGTCGCCCTATGACGTGAAGAATGTGTGTGTGTCCATTTTTTGCTAGTACACGTCAGCAGACTGTGCTGACGCGACTTTCTGGTCCACTTGCATAACAAAACGGTAAGTTCGGTCGCATTCTAGTTTATGCTTTATTACACTATTACACGGATAGGTGCACTGAACTCTATACGTCCTCTGAGTTTTTTTTTCTTCCGGTCATTTGTTCGCTTCTGTTCTTGAAAGGTACCGCTCGCTCTGATTTAGGGTCCGAGACGAGATGTTGATCTGGCTCTCTTTGATTCTAAGTATTGCAACCAGTGATGCACAGCAGACCTGTGAAGGTAGGGCGTTTGATTCAAAAGTACGTTGTAGACGATTAGCACTTGTCGTGCGAAATTGAAGCGTTGAAGTTGTGGTACAAGTTTGTTGTGCTAGGATCGATAGTAAGTCAGACATAATGCCTTAAATGTGAGAATGACATTGTGCATCTTAACAATGCGAGTACGAAAACATTCCAGGAGCAGGAGTTATTTTCGAAAACGTGCAGTGATTTGAATATAGTGAATCATTAACCTGGTCAAAGAATCCGTCCATCTTTAATTGCTGTTGTTGTGATTGCGATTTTTGAAATTCGTGATCAAAGACATCTTGGAATTTTCTAACTTGTGTGTAATTCCTGTTCTATCTGTATCCTGCATCTTCTGTTCTAACTGTCTAACTTCTACGATGCGTGAACGGACTTATCCAGCCAATAGATGAGGATTTTTGTGCTTCCACCTCTGAGTAGCATTCCCACCGGAAATCTTCATTACCTAACTAGCTAACAACTGCTTCATCTCACCATTTACAGCTTCGAAAATTTGAGGAAACAGTGCATAAATAAAATCTGTGGCGTTTTGTTACTCAGGCGACTTCTTTTCCAATTTTGGGTTACCCTAACCGCAGTAACGGTTGCACAAAAATGTTTCCTCTTCATGTACATGAGCCCCTTTTATGAAGTTCTGAGAGCTTCTATCGATTTGTAGACTGAGTTAATGGAAAGGTCACTATCTGAGAAATGCCCGCTGAAATGAGGCAAGTGTGGTGTAAAATCCGGTCACTAGTGCTAAGGCAGGTGTCAGATAAGCGATTAAAGGCAAAACGCGACTGGGTAGAGGACCGAAAAGCAATTTTTTCTAGGGATATGTACTCTTCAATAACACTACCTAACATAAGCTCCCTGTAGTGGTAACCTCTGTTTTCCAGATAGGGGGAGACGTCAGCCATCATGCTCAGCCCGCGCATATTTATCGATCGCTCTTCTAGTCGTGTTGCATCTTTACTCGCGCACTCTGGCGCCTGCCTGATCGGTGTTTTGAATATCACCTTCATATTATTTATTTTTAAGGATTCGGAAAATTGACGCTCCCAGTTCATATTTTCAGCTCAAACATCACTCGTACAAAAATGTCCTTCCTTCTCAAGTACGTGGCTCCTTTAGATGTTATATGGTCCCTCTGTCGTTTTGTAGACTAGCTTGAAGGAAACGTCAGTATTTGAAAAACAATCGATGGACTGAGACAGGCATGGTGGAAAATACCCGGTCAGAAAATCGTTTCCACTTTCCCCTGTGGTTTTGAACGAAGACAGGCGACTTAATCATCGAGAATACCGGGTAAAATTATGCGTGAATCTTCCGAGCAACTTTTTAGCGGTCAAAGTTGGCAAGAAATGCAGCTTCAGTAAATGAGGAGAGCTAACGCGAACAGGTCACGGTAGTGCAGTGGTGAAGCTCTTGCTCTGTAAATTATGTATAGGTTATGGATTTGTTCATCATAAACCGTTCTGTATTTGGATCATCTGGTACCTCCATGAAAAATCCAAAAAAAATTGGCGGGAAATGTTGCGGCACAAAGCTTGCGCCACAACATTTTCTGCACCTATCCCCACTTGGATATAAAGCGCGATTTCCAAGAACATCCGCAGCCTTCGGAAGCCAATCAAGGACCGCTTGTCCGTCGCAGGGCAATGGCTCTGCTCGATCGATACTGCAGCCGACTGCATTGACTGGGGGCGGGGTCAATCGCCCGTCGCTTGTGCACATTGCACGCGATTGCGCAATCGCTGCGCTCGACCGAGAGCGATTGGCAAGTGACGGACAAGCGATCCGTCGCCGACTATGGCGTCGGCCTAAAAGTGCCCAGACGAAATGTATGTATGTGTGTAAAGGTAAACATGTACTAAGAAAGGACCGGTGTCTTTGAAATCAATAAATTAAAGGGGTCTTTTCCCTAGGCTGGAATGGATATGGTCTGTGGCAGAGTCAACCCTGCGTTGCGCAGTATGCAACGGCACGTCGAGAGATCTTCAACGCACGCTGTATGGGCGGAGACACAGACGGCTCGAGCATGCGAGTGTGAATGTTCGCCGCGAGAGAACGTGTCTAATCGGGCGAAAGCGCAACGTGGCCGTTCAAAACTGCGCAACGCAGGGTTGACTCTGGTCTGTGGTTCGCTAGACAGCTAGCGACTTTTCCGCTCTGCAGCGCGAAGCCTCTTTCGCTGCGACCACGTCCATTAATGACAGTGGCGGTCCTCGGATTCCCGCCGCGACAGAAGTTTCACAGTGCGGAAAGCGGAAAAGTCGCGTCCTGTCCAAGCGAACACACCCTTGAACACAGCCCCCGCTCGCTTCTTGCATTAAAGTTGCAGTCGACCACTTATAGCTTGTTTGAAAGGTTTACTTAGCAGTAGGAATCTCTATATTGTGTAAGACGTTCTTCTTAGTTATAGATCCAAATAAATATCCATCTAGTGTTGCTCGAGAAGTTGCAAAGCTGCTGGTAAGTGATGTGTGCCAAATGTTATGATTTCAGACCTAACCATTATTGTAGCTGACGGCACTTTTGTCTTTCTATTGATGATGTTGTCTTTCCAAGCAACACGGCTGTTTCTACTTTTTGCAGTATGTGTGAAAGTGCTTAAAGATGCGATGAGCAAGGTTCCGGAAGCAGAAAAGTCGAAGCCTGACTTCATTGCTAAGGCAATTCGTGAACATTGCGAGAGTAGTAAACTCAAGGATCACAAATTTGTAAGTGGTTACGGCCTTATTGCAGATCTTTATAAAGTACCGTTCCTTCACAATTTTTCGTTACAAGAACCCCAGGTCCATTCATGCTTGGGTGTGACCTTGGGTTCCGACAACGAAGTTTCGCGCTAGGAAATGCAAAAAAAGTCGCTTTCTTGTCATAGCGAACCACACCTTCGTTATTCTAGGCCTTTGTGTTGTTTCTTATGAATTTCTTGCTATTTATTTCTCTGTTACATTTGCTCGACATAATGCGCAATACCCTAATCCGCAACATACTGCAATGCGGGAGTAGCAGTTGGATTTTATCTTTTACAATACAATACTTTCTGACAATGAGAAGAAAGATTGAATTGATGTTTTACATCATGTGGGTTAACATAAGGTTTTTGCCGAGGAAGTGAGCTTGGGAGCGAAACAAATGCTTATCTTTTGGCACGAGGCCAGGACCAGAGGCGGAAGCGGAAGATTTTCCCGCTCAGATCCCCAAATTTTCACGAACTTTGTTTGTCTATGGAATCGACGGTTTTAGAAAAAATGGACTTGGTCTTGCTTCCCTTTCATCTTGAAACCGTTGCGATCAAGCTGCCGTCAGGTTTGCGTTGGCAGGTAGAAGTTTCCAGAGCACAGCTCTACTTTCTGCCAGAAATTAGAAGGGTCATGACTTGAGGGCGGTCGAAATTTATCAGTAAAAGCTTTGAAATTGTGGAGTTAGAGTATTGTCGCTTATAGGATTGATTAGCGCACACTACCCACTTCTGATAATGAATGGGCCGCTGGATAGCAAATCGAGGGAATGATGGGATACACGGGAAATCAAAAAAAAAACCATGGGGAGTGTTTGGGTTTCAACACTTCTTCAACACGAACACTTTTCGAAGTTTTTAGGATGTATGGAAATGTCTCATTGTCAGCTCAGTCATCTTGTTGGTCAGAAGTGCTCTGCCTTACTCCAGATAATTTCTTGGGCTTCCTTTTCAACGGTACTTCGATATTGAATGTCATGAGGGGACTGTGTGTGTGTGGGTCTTCTATTGATAAGAAAAGCTAGCCACGAATGGAATGTAACTGCGGGTTGTGGTTTGAGAGAGTGTTCCCAACGATCTTGTGATGGGACCTTTACTCCGCCTGGCTTCGGAAGTTCCTTCACTAATAAAAATGAGGCACTGAAATAGCTTCTAGAAAAATAAAGCTTATCAGAAGAAAAAATATTAGAAAGGAATACCAAAAAAAATCAGCGTCAGTGAGCTGTCTAGCTTTTGCAAAGAATCCTACGGCGCGAGTCATGTTCCGAGCCTCCAAAATTTTTTTATAAATCTTTATGGCATTGAATAAAAAGAGTAAGCAATTATGGACCGACCCAATCGTAAGGAAAATGATACAGCCTTTCCCTCAATAACTTTGTCTCCGCAGAAAAATTCTCCTTGCATGCGCTCAAATCGCTTTCGCACTGGAGTTGGATTTCTTAACTACATCTTCTAGCGAAACATTGATCGTCAGTCCTGTGAGCAGTGTCAGGATCCGAAAATTCCGAAAAAATATTTTTTTAATGCTATGCTGTTTATGCTTGCAGAAGCAGTACCCAACGAAAGTAAAACGTCTCAAAAGCCCTCAATTCCTCCAAGGCATACGCACCCTGCACATGCCGTGAACACTTTGGCATACCTCATGAGCACATCCTCCACACGTTCGGTCGTGGGACATTCTCGCAATTTCAACTATTAGCGCTAGTGATTTAAGCGAATCTTAGATATGCGGTAACCTTGAGATAGGTGTAGATCCCGCGGCTGCAATCGCGACACACCTCATGTAACATGTCTTTGCTGAAATCGTTAGGAAACAGATTTGGCATCGCTCACACTAAGAAAATATCGGAAACTACATTCGTGCCCTCCGCGGCCGCACCTGTACAGGGTGTTCCTTAAATACTGCAACACGTTTCTCAACTTGTAGCTTCTCTCAAAGTGGACATATCTTCATGTGGTCACACACTATTCTTAGGCTGTCCTTAAGATGTTGAAAGAAATGACATTTATTCGATAAATCTCTCTGTCGGTGTGAGTATGGCTTCCAGTCGCTTCGAATACAACTCAAATGTTTCCAGCATGGCATCCTGGAGTGCCTTCTTCGAAACTTTCTAGAGAAAAAAAAACTTTAGCTCTTCTATTTGAATGCATTGTTTATTGCAGGCTGTGTCCCCTAATATAGCTTAAATAGGATGGTCCAGCAGTTTGAAATCGAGAGATAGGAGAGCCATTTTTTTGAGGATGTGACATTGAGAACAGTCCTCAAAGGAAGCGATTACGATAGATCTCAAAGGGCTTTAGAGGGGACGTGGGGGTCTCCATAGTACGCGGCGAAAAAAGCAAAATAATACCCCTTTGATTGCCCTTTCATTTTCGACCATGGATGAGCGACGGTAAGGAACGATGTTGTTCGGACGTGTTAACCCCGATAGCCGTCATCATGCTAACAAGCATAGTGTACTGATTGATATGGCAACACGTGGGCAAGCTGGCCGACTGCATTGACTGGGGGCGGGGGCAATCGCCCGTCGCTTGTGCACATTGCGCAATCACTTGCCAATCGCTCGACGGAGAGCGATTGGCAAGCGACAGACAAGCGATGGAGCGATCGCGATCGCCCCATCGCTTGGACCGTCGCCGACTATGACGTCGGTCTGACTGTTTAGGAACTCCAGCGTTCTGGACACCTTTCTCGAGCGGGTGTGGTTCACTAAGACAGAAAGCGACTTTTTCGCGTTTAGCAGCGCGGAACATTTATCGCTGTCGGAACCCCATTTACACTTTTGATCAGCGATGAACCTGAGGTTCCCGCAGCGAAAAGTGTTCCGCGTGCGAAAAGCGAACAAGTCCCAGTGAACCACACTCTTCTCGAGCCACCCCGGGCATTGCAGTCGTTCACTTCTTCATGCTTTTTCGAGATCCAAGATGTCAAAACTTGTGGGAGGACTTCTTTTATTGGTCTCGTCTTCAGTACAAAATAGGCCAAGGAGCGCCTAAAAATCCTAAGAAGTGCGATATTCATCACCGATTTCAGACCTAGTAGCGTGTGAGGGGTTAGGCGCTGGGCCATGAGGTGCAGGTCGAAAGGTAAGCCGTGGAATTTGTCATGGTCATTGACAAGAGGTTGCAGGAAGCAAAGGGGTACCTCAGAAAGCCCGTCGCGCGGCAAAAGGACAGAGTCGCGGGCGAGTTGCGGCGCGTGATGTGCGATGTAGGACGTTCAGTGGAACATTCTAACTTGATAGGTGGAACATTTATTCAATCGGCCTGACGTTTCGAAAATCGTCGTCTTTTGAGGCCTAAACGCGGTTCAAGGTTGAAATTCACGATCTAATCGACCAAGCGCCTGATCTCCTCTAGCGGTTCCGACTTTCCGCCGGGAGTCCCACCGAGAAACATAAGCAAAACGATTTTTGAACTCACCCAGGGTTCCACCGTTTAAGCGGGAATCCCGCTTCCGCACAAAAGCGCACAGTAAGAAATAAGGCACACCGTAATGTCTCCTGATTTGAGTAATCGCTGGGAGACGCATGTAAGCTTTATTCTACAGCTCGCAGTGCGGTATAAACGGCGAGAGATCACTTGTTATTGAAGGGCGTTCATCCCGGCCGTTCATCGCTGGATTTCTAGCGGAAATCTAGAATGCTTCCAATGCCTCTCTAGCAACAATTTCCGGTCTTCCAAGAGCTTGTAACTCAACCTATATTGGAGAAACAGGAAGGGTTGTAGCCATTCGCATCAAAGAACATTTGGTTAACATGAGGCGCGGTACTCGTTCAACGGCTCTTGGAAGACATAAAGTTGAGAAGCACAATGGCGTTGATTTCGAAATAAGATGTACGGTGTTGGCGTATGAGACGGAAATTGTTGCTAGAAAGGCATTGGAAGCATTCTGGATTTCCGCGATTTCCGCTCGAAATCCAGCGATGAACGGCCGGGATGAACGCCCTTCAATAACAAGTGATCTCTCGCCGTTTATACCACACTGCGAGCTGTAGAATAAAGCGTACGTGCGTCTCCCAGCGATTACTCGAATCAGGAGACATTACGGTGTGCCTTATTTCTTACTGACCGGCGCTTTTGTGCGGAAGCGGGATTCCCGCACATACGGTGGAACCCTGGGTGAGTTCAAATTCGTTTTGCTTATGTTTCTCGGTGGGACTCCCGGCGGAAAGTCGGAACCGCTAGAGGAGATCAGGCGCTTGGTCGATTAGATCGTGAAATCCAACCTTGAACCGCGTTTAGGCCTCAGAAGACGACGATTTTGTCGAAACGTCAGGCCGATTGAATAAATGTTCCACCTATCAACCTCGAAAGGCAGAAGAAACAAAGACAAATAAGAACAAAGAATGCCGAGGTTACAAGAGAGAGAAGCTGGAGACTATTCTAACTTGACTTTGACTTGACGCGAAATCCCTACAGTACGAGCGCCACTCGTCCGCTGACTCGCTTTCTTCTCGCGCGACGGGCATGCTGGGAGGTACCCGAAGTGAAGGTATGTAATTTTTGGTAAGATAGCTATGGACACCCACACAATTAAAGCTTAAAATGTGTAGCAGTATTTATGGAATACCTTGTATGTTTGATAAAGTAACGGAGCCCGTGTGATTTGATCGGGCTGGCATGAGAAAATTATCAAGGAGATCGATGAGTCGGCTTATCTTGTGTTTGCTTAATAGCGTGGCTTTGTGGTTGATGCATATTATTTTGGCCTTTTTAAGTGCTTCTATATCGGAGCTTTGCCGGAGTCTGCAACCTCGATGATGGTAGACGTTACAAAACCTTTGTCATGGTCCATGCCACCAGAGAAAGTTTGTGAGAAATTGAAAGCGAAGGACGCCCAGATTTGTGAGCTCAAGTATGGTGAGTGTTTTAGCAATTAGTCAATGTAGTTGATTAATCTTAAGCAGCGAAAGACACTGGCGCGCTCCAAAGCGCATTCATAGTCGGTCACTCGATCGTAACGATCGCACAGCCTTGGATACGTAATGAACGCACGGCAATGGATGCGTACTGATCGTCGTTTCCCTGAGGATTGAACGACCGATACCTATGTAACGCTGTGTGGTCGTTACGGTCGTTACCACTTTGAATTCGCCTTAACGTGAGGTGATCATGTGACGCGACCACATTGCTATTGGGTCGCGTGGCCTGTAATTGTCACCTAGGCGCTGCCCACATCGCGTGGCCTGTAATTGTCACCTAGGCGCTGCCCACATCG